TGGAAGTATGCAGACCTGGTCATTTTATTTATGTGAGACTGAAAGGAGAGGGAGGAGTCGAGGATGACACCCAGACTCTTGACCTGAGGGGAGGGGGAGACTAAGACATAAGGTGGTAAACATCCTGGACAGGCTGCCAGTTCATGACAACACAGAGATACAACCATGCACACACACCCACACACAAAAGGTCAATATAGATACCAATAACCTAACTGTGTTTAAAGGCTATGAGGAACCTGGAGTACCCAGAGAGAACCCACACCTAAAGAGAGAACAGGCAAACTCCATGCAGAAATACCCCCAACCAAGATTCAAACCCAGGATAAGTGACTGTTTATCTGAAAATAAAGAATGTTAGGGGATTTATTTGGAATTTCTGTATTTTGTTTCAAAAGCTCTGCTGAAAACATTTATCATAATTTAGTCTGAGTTTGTCTCTGCATTATTTTTGAATTGGTTTCATTGTTTAATGTTATTTCCCATCTTTTTCTTTAAGTCAGATAATTTTCCAGTAACCAGTAGATACTTGTTAACAATGGTAGTACTTTACCCTTTTCTACCATGTACATTACCTGCAGTAGTAACGAATAAGTTTTATGTTGACCAAAATCTAAATAAAATATTGGTAAAGAAGCTCCTTCTGCCTTTGTTTAACACTTTAATTATTCTTTTTTTATTTGTGTCTAGTCTGTATAGTCTGTATTTGAGTCTTTAAAATACCAGACTAACACTCAACCTAATATTTGTGTCCTCTAGTATCATTGTGAATATCCAATCCAATGTTATGATCAGTTACTCATTACTTCAGTGGCATTTTCTGTTCAACCCTTTTTGGAGTGATTTATTGAATGGCTGTTTTTTTATCTTTACTGGAGTGAAATATGGTGAATTATTGCTTCTCTTATTGACTAACTTGTTCTTTATTATCCCAAACTATTTTTAGTGCTGTTTTGACGTCATGGTGAGGTTATATTTAACACAAACCATGGAATCCATGAGAAAGAATGCAAAGCAAAACCAAACTAGGTCACAGGTGACTGAATGACTGGTAGTTACAGTGGAAGTATTACGTCATCATGTAAATATTTAAGCCTCAGCCACTCCTGTCTCTCTACATAGAAAGGTTGTGTCAGCGTGTGTGCGGACTGTGATGGTAGAAGCAGCAGCAGCATTTCTCTATCAGATTCTCTTCAGCCGTTCAACATGTCTGACTTTAATCATCTGCTGGTTTTTGGTCTGGATTCCTGTTGAAGGTAAAAACTGCTGGATTTAATTTGAGCTGTTTTAAACTGTTATTAACAACCTGGATTACAGTTTAATTTGAACTTTGAAAGGTCTTCTTTTACTTCGTGTAAACAGTTTATAAACTGTTTTACCCACTGGTTGTATTTCTTATTAGATTATGTGTTTTTTTTGTCACTAATTTGTTCTATTGTTTATACCTTAAATCTACTTTATTATGAATGAAACACAATAAAGCAGCATCAGACACCAGAATAGAGTCAAAGCTGAAATTATGAATGCAGACTAAAAATAATGAAATTTTAAAAACAAGCAGGTGAATAGACTCCATCAGTTCATTAAATCCATCATGTAAAATTTTTAATTGACTTTAATGATGTCAGTAAATCATACAGTTGTGATGTTGTTGTAAAGAGATGTGGATCAACCCAGGATGGCTACAGTCTTCTTTCATCTCTTCACTTTCCTCATTAGGCTTCATCATCTGAGCTCAGTTTGTTTGTTTATCTTTAAATAGATTATGATTTTTTTTTACCTTATTATCAGCTTTCTTTTGATATTTTTAATTATATATTTTCAAATGAACCTTTCACCTAAGATTTGTGATGGTTATATGGAGGGCCAAAGGGGACAAAAATAAATA